TGCCAGATTGTTTTAGAGGGAAAACCATGAATAAAAAGCCAAACCTCGTGAATATCGGATGAGTTTTGGCCGAGTTATGGGGATGGGAAATTTTGACCCATGCCCATATACCAATGTTGGGGTGAGATTTGGACATGAATTTCGACCAAAAAATGGGTGTTCAGGTTTTAATGCAAGATTAATCTAGAGGGAAAACCATTAATGAAAAGCCAAACCTCATGGAAATCGGATGAGTTTTGACCGAGTTATGGGGATGGGAAATTTTGACCCATGTCTATATACGAATGTTGGGGTAAGATTTGGACATGAATTTCGACCAAAAAATGGGTGTTCAGGTTTTAATGCCAGATTATTTTAGAGGGAAAACCATGAATAAAAAGCCAAACCTCGTGGAAATCGGATGAGTTTTGACCGAGTTATGGGGATGGGAAATTTTGACCCATGTCTATGTACGAATGTTAGGGTAAGATTTGAACATGAATTTCGACCAAAAAATGGGTGTTCAGGTTTTAATGCCAGATTGTTTTAGAGGGAAAACCATGAATAAAAAGCCAAACCTCGTGGAAATCGGATGAGTTTTGGCCGAGTTATGGGGATGGGAAATTTTGACCCATGTCTATATACGAATGTTGGGGTAAGATTTGGACACGAATTTCGACCAAAAAATGGGTGTTCAGGTTTTAATGCCAGATTATTTTAGAGGGAAAACCATGAATAAAAAGCCAAACCTCGTGGAAATCGGATGAGTTTTGACCGAGTTATAGGGATGGGAAATTTTGACCCATGTCTATGTACGAATGTTGGGGTAAGATTTGAGCATGAATTTCGACCAAAAAATGGGTGTTCAGGTTTTAATGCCAGATTGTTTTAGAGGGAAAACCATGAATAAAAAGCCAAACCTCGTGGAAATCGGATGAGTTTTGGCCGAGTTATGGTGATGGGAAATTTTGACCCATGCCCATATACCAATGTTGGGGTGAGATTTGGACATGAATTTCGACCAAAAAATGGGTGTTCAGGTTTTAATGCTAGATTATTTTAGATGGAAAACCATGAATAAAAAGCCAAGCCTCTTGGAAATCGGATGAGTTTTGACCGAGTTATGGGGATGGGAAATTTTGACCCATGTCTATATACGAATGTTGGGGTAAGATTTGGACACGAATTTCGACCAAAAAATGGGTGTTCAGGTTTTAATGCCAGATTATTTTAGAGGGAAAACCATGAATAAAAAGCCAAACCTCGTGGAAATCGGATGAGTTTTGACCGAGTTATAGGGATGGGAAATTTTGACCCATGTCTATGTACGAATGTTGGGGTAAGATTTGAACATGAATTTCGACCAAAAAATGGGTGTTCAGCTTCCTTCTGCCTATTACATACATTTGGATTTTGCACAAATACAATATACCCTTATACCCATTTTTAATGGGTTCACGGTATACAAAGCGTTGCAAATATGTGGGTAAGGGGATTGTTGGGGGTTTCTATAGATTGTTGCCGGTATATCAATAAATTTTGGAGTCACATGTTTTTTGTTGTTGAATTCTTGGCTGTTGGCTACAGTCAAAAATAATATTTATATTATTGACATTTTACGAATACGCCTTCGAAAAGGCGGGTTTGTGAAAACCTGAAAGCCAACAACTACGCAGCACCCGCGTCACGTAAGCATCTAAATACGAAAATCAAGCCCGACATCAAACCAGTTTTCCATTTGGTGAAATTCTCAGTACAAGCGCCTGGGCGTTGTTCTAAGCGCAAAGCACAAAAGCTGGTGTTGAAAATATCAACGAATATTATCATAGAAAATTAAATGCAATTATTGTTGTGCACAGAAATTAAATTAATTGCGATAAAAATTCTGCATTTTAGATGAGCGCACAGTGAAGATTAACTAAGTGCGATGTACATTAAAAAAAAAAAACAAAAAGAAAATAGAGGACAGATCCAATAATCGAAATTGTTGCTCGGATACTCCGACTTTACACTTGAATCTAATATATTATAAAATATTATATTAAATGGTCTAGTCATAATCTGACTCCAACTTGTCCCTTACCAAGGCTTACTTATTATTACTTAGTTCTTTCTAAGGAAACATCACTGTAGCTGTTGCTCAAGCCATGCGGCGGCACTTGGCTGCCGTGTGGAATGTGTTGGTAGCAACTGTTGGCGGCAACTGTTGTCGGCATTTGCGGCAAAAAGAGATTTGCATCTAGTTACCTGCCGAAAAGTCATGTAAGTCGTGACCAGTGTGACCAGGCTATCGACTAGCTGCCCCATGTGGGACGAGCACAGCCCGAGCAACAGCACCCACTTGGACGTGTATCTGTATCTGTAACTGTAACTGTATCTGTATCTGTATCGGCGTCTAAAATCTGTAGCTGAGAGTTCGATTTGAGATAGCGGCAACCTACATGCCTCGGAGACATGCACTTGCACACAGTTTAGCTTAATTAAATGTTGTTTAATCATTTCAATAGATAATGAGCCCATGACATGTTCGCTGTGCGCGCTGTGATTTATCGGGCGAACATGCAAGGCGCACGCCCGATCCGATCCGAACCAAACCGATCAGATCCATTTATGGACGCGTCCATCCATTTGGCCAGAGTCGTGCGCAAAGTGGGTCGGCGTTTTGTTTTTATTTTGTTATTTTTTTTTTTTTTTTTTTTGGCCAAAACAACATTAGGCCGCATTACGTAGACGTCGTAGGCCATAGACTCGGGGCGCCACACTCATTGGACGCAGCGGCCGCTTTGATGATTCATTGCGTATCTGTCAGATACATGAGTTCATTAGTGTAGACACCGAATGTCAACTGCACGGAAATGTATTTTTAGCATGCATGCACAAAGACTCGCGCACACACGTTTAACAGTTAAACGCTAAAAATCAACAATGCAGATTTCCATCACTGGCCCAGCTGAGTTGAGCTGCACTTAATGAAGGTTCCAGCGAATGGCATATGACTGATCTATTAGCACGAAACGATAATCTGGCCTTGAATTCGATTGCTTCTGCCTGCATGCATATATTCTTGATCGGAGCAGCTTTAGCTTGATATCTTGTGAGTGTCCATATTGCTGTCAACACCCAGGTCAAATATTACTATAAAGTTCCCAACTCAAACATAAATTTAGCCAATTTTCAAGACCAATTATATTATTTTTATATTTTCTACAAAAATTTCCTTGCAGACGTAGAACTTTCAAGTGCTTGTCTTTCATTAAAAACTGTCTAAAAGCCAATTGAAAAGAGTTTCGCCCGCTTGGACACAGTGAAAGTCTTAGCTTTATAGTTGAATTGAAGGGCGTCCATATGTGTAGATACAGATACAGATACATTTGCCAGACACAATAGATTGTGGGCATAATTAAAAAATAGCAAGCGTCACGGAATATAATAGCAAATAATAACAAATTGTCTTGACTGACCAGACACATGTATATAGACAAATAGGGCGCGGAGGTGGATAGGGGATGGGAGGGGGAGGGGCTTTTTTCAATGTATCTTTTGAGCAACAATTGAACCTTGAAGTTGTTGCTGCAGTGCGTTTTTGGCCACGTCATGCTTGGCTACCGTTCGGGCAGCTTGATTAGCTGGCAAAGACTGTTCGCGCATCTTCAAGATACATTTTTTTGTATTGCAGACAGGCAACAACACGGCAAGAAAAAGCCAATTTGAGCTGACAAAAACACAATTAACTACACGGCCGTAAATTAAGCGGAAACCAAAATCGTGCAATCGCACAAAATGATTATATTTGCTTTCTGTCTGCATCTTTTGCTCCGGCTCTGGCTCTGGCCGCTGCAATTTGTTACAAAAAAAAAAAAACGTTACCAAACTGTCGACAATTTAATTGATTTATGCTTTTTTATTTTGACGCTTGCAAATTTACGACAATTGATTTCGAAAGTCAGCAGCAACAGGCAGGAGAATGCCGCCTAACGGAGTTCACTTTATGATTAGCCATAAAACTCATTTCTCTAGCAGCTACTTTTTAAGGTTTCCTATTTTTTATCTAAGCAGTGAAAACAGAAAGCTTTATGAGAACAAGACAATATTTAGAAACCTTGGCAGATATAAATGAAATTTCGAGACACAAAACTTGACTCTTAGGTTTAATAATACCATAATTCTTACATTCCGGCTTTCGATTGAAGAGTCTAACCCTTCTGTTTCCTTTCCGACTTGTAACCTTCGAAAACCAGCTCGTTATACTTTTAAGATAAAGTTCAGCAGGTGCAACTGAAATCAGAAAGCTTTTTAGAAACTTTGGCAGATATAAATAAAATAGTAAATGTTCCTTTTCAAGACACAAAATGTGACTTTTAGGCTTAATCAAAACAAAAGTTCTTTCTGAAGACATTTTATTGGACTTTTAACACCCACCACAATAATTAGAAACGTTTTGAGACCTAAATAAATAGTAATTGTTTCCTTATAAGACATAAAATTTAATTTTATGCTTTATAACACCCTAATTCTTACACTCCGTCATGTCACCCATAGCAAAGTTCTTTCTAAAGATACGACTCTTAATACCCTGCATTTTACCTTCTTTTCCATTCTCTCTTAATTTCTTCAAGTAAAGTTCAGCAGATGCACCTTTCCAAATCGCAAATGCCTCACCCTTCGCACACCTATTTTTTTCTCACAGTTCAGAATTTGACTTTAAGCACCTGCGCTCACTCTGGAAAGTTCTTTCCGTTAACCTGCCAACTGCTTGCGGCTAATAACTGATTAAACAACAACAAAAGAACTGACAACTTTCACATAATAATAATTAACCGGCCCCGGCTACGAAACATGGCTCCGTTGTATGTGATTAACACAAATTCGCTAATTATTAACTAACCACGGGCGAAACGTAAACAGACCTCGAATGAACTCCGATCTGTGCGCAACCACAAACAGAAAGAGACGCCCAAAAGCTTAACATTTAACATTTATGTAAATCGCGTCTATATAGTACTTATATCCGATACTCGTAGATCTCTATCAAGAGACTGTCAAGCGCTTTACGCGCTCCTCGCTCTCGCCCTCGTCCGACTGGGAACGCTTCTCGCCCGGCCGCGGATCGGTCAAGTCTCGCTCCGACAATGGACGTCGCACATCTTGTAAGTCTGTCCAGCTGAGATCCCCCCATCCCAAGCACACCTGCATGCTGTAAATGTATCTGTAACTGTGCTTTGTTTACGTTTTCGTTTTTGTTTTCGTTTCGATTTAACCATAGACGATTATTATCTTGAGGCCACGGGTCGGCGTCGCAGCTCAGGTAAGCAAAAGAGCAGCTCACGAACTGTTCTATCTGTCTATATCTAAATAGATACATGCATAAATATATCTCTATCTTGCTCGAGACGTGCTAAAACACACACACACACATGCACAATATGTCAGTTAGATATTTGCGCAGGTGGTTTATTTAAGTTGAAGCCAGTTGCTCGCACCTTAAACGGACGCCACCACGATTTATGGCCCTCGCTGGCATCTACCTGATACCTGTTGATCTAACCCGCTTTATAAGATCCAAAAATTGTCAAATTAACAAAGCCTAATGAGCCGTCGTCATGTGGGTGTTCACTGTACAGCTAAGCCAGCTAATCTGTGGATATTACAACTAAAGCCCCATCAGCTTTAAAGCGTGACATGGGTCAGATAATAGCAGGGGGTATTATAATTGTGCCTCGAAATGTGAGACATCCACGAGTCCATAAAAGTATATATATTCTTGATCAGCATCAATAGCCGACTCGATATAGCCATGTCCGTCCTTCTCAGTTTTGAATCTATCGTCATGACACTGTGCAGTACATACATATGCCGGAACCAGGGGGAACGGATCACTATATCATATAGCTGCCATACACAAGAATTGGTCGAAAAGTTGGTTATATGGAACATATTTTTGTTTATCCAGATATCTTTAACATACTCGGGGCATTATATATTCTTCCTGTGCTCCTTAGATAAGAGCAAAATATTATGAGCAATATAAGAAGGTTGGGTCTGCAAGTGTATTATATCTTCGGCGTGCCGCAGATAGCTTTTCCTTTTCGTTAAAATTGTTAAAGACAGATACAAGTTGTAAAGTACGTTATTTGTGTGATGTACCGACCTTCAAGTTATTCCCCGTTAAACTTACATGCGAAGCTAGAAGCAAAAGCCTTGCTTAGATTTTGCTAAGCTATTAAGTTAGTCCAGAGTATGACACATATGTGACTCAGTCGAATAACATCAATGCAAACTAATAATTATTTAATTTAGTATATTTAACAAAGTAGCGCAACTAAAGTGCGATTAACCCGAACCCCGACAAAGTATATGCAGTTGTTTGGCTAATGCATATGCATAAGTTTATATTTATATAATTTTTTTTTTTTTTTTTTGCAAACTCAAACTTGACACCTTTATGCAGGCAAGCAAAGAGCATGTCTTGCGTATCGCAGCGGCAAAAATTTGAAAACCTAATGATGAAAAATTTAACCAAATTATCATATTAGATGTGGGCGAAGCGTTTGACGTTGCAGCTTTAAAATAAAAATAAAAAAAGAATGAGTGGAGGAGCCAAACAATAACAAATTATGACATAGGTTGCATGCAATATGGTTTTTTTTTCTTTGTTGCGTAATTTTCCACTTAATTATATTTTGATTTAAAAGCCATTTATCAAGTATCAACAAGTAATTTGTTAAATTAAAGCCAACTTTTTAAGGCGTTGTCTGTTTGGGTAAATGACGCCAAGTCAAGTCGGTTCTAGTCCAGAGAAGATCTATCAAGTGCATATGGATTAATGCTATATATATATATATAATAGCCAATATCCGTTCTACACACGCTCTGCGGGGGATCGTGTTGTAGTCATTTTTTATATGACAGCTTCAAATGGTTTTCATTGACTGCAAGCGACATATGCAAATTGCACTAGAACAATTTGCATATGACATCATATTCGACTATATTATACAATAAATGTCTACGTATATAGAAAAGTGACTTGAACAGAGTTTCGATCGTGTGTGTGAAACATTATGAAACGCAGCCAAAACATTGAGAGTTCTTTGCTGATTGATGATAATAATAAATGCTCATCTCCTCGATACCTCCCCTCCTCCCAATTGACAGATCACAACAGCACCGTGCTGACAGCCAACACGGAGCAGTTCATAATTGGCCAACGTGTGTGGGTGGGCGGACTGCGTTCCGGCCAGATAGCCTACATAGGCGAGACACACTTTGCGCCCGGCGACTGGGCAGGCATTGTGCTCGACGAACCAAATGGTAAGCGACAGACAGACAGGTGACACTCGCTATAAAGACAGCTAAAACCTTGATTTGTTGCAGGCAAAAATGATGGCTGCGTCTCGGGCAAGCGTTACTTCCAGTGCGAGCCAAAGCGCGGCATCTTCTCGCGCCTCACACGGCTCACAACATATCCGCTGTCGGGCGCAATGACGCCCACCTCGCCGCTGGCGAAGAACTCGCCGGAACGTTCGCGCACGGTCTCCCCAACGGCCAGCCTGCGCAGCTCCATGCTGCGCAGCCCGGGCACGGGCAGTAAGTGCAGCTGATCTGCTGAGATTTAACTGAGATTACATTTTGTCTATGGCTCTTTGCAGAGAATGGTCTGACGGTGGGTGATCGTGTGATTGTCTCCTCGGGCTTTGGCAGTCGGCCGGGCATTTTGCGCTATCTGGGCGAGACACAGTTCGCACCTGGCAACTGGTGCGGCGTTGAGCTGGACGAGGCCAGCGGCAAAAACGACGGCGCCGTCGACGGCATCAGGTAAAGCTGTAACACTGTAACTCTTTAATTGTCGTTTTTTTTTGGTCTACTTTAAATTCTGTCTAATTGATTTACTTTACTTTTAGATATTTTGAGTGCAAGCCGAAATTTGGGGTCTTTGTGCCGATTGCCAAGGTGTCGCTATCGCCGTCCACAAAGAAGACGCGTTTGTCGCGCGCCGGCTCGCGCGAATCTCTCACCTCGATCGGCACCATGAACAGCATAGCCACAACAAACACATCGCGTATACGCATGAATGCACAGGTATAAGCCGGGCCTGCAACATGCCATACACACACGTTATCAGTTATCAGTTATCAGTTATCAGTTAGCTGTTACTCTTTTACCAGTTACCTGCCACAGTTTTGCTGTTATCTATGCCTAATACTGTTAATATTAACCGTTAACTGTGCTCGAGTTTTTTTTTACTAACGCGTTTACAATTCTTTAATTTTAATCCCCACCCACGCAGCGCAAATCGAGCACGCCCATTCGGCCAATTGTAACGACGCCAAAAAGTCAATTTTCCATGCAGGTATGCAAAAACAACATCTGTTCGCCCACGCGCGCGCTGTTAGTTAACATGCACGCCTACTGTACCCGCTGTTAAAGTCGCTTGAGCGTCTCTTTGTCTGTCTTTTGACTAAACAATCAGCTAACCTAGCCTCTAAGCCTGCCACTAATCCACCCCAATTAACTTGCCACCTGACACATTGCCAAAATGAGCCCAACTAAACATGTACAAAAATATATTTATAAAATATACGACTTTACCTGCACCCTTTTTGGCTTATCTTATTATCCGTATCTTCGTGTATATATGTTTTTTTTTTGCTGTATTACCTATTTTATTTTATTTTCGTACACCTTCTGCATAATAAATAGCTACGATACAAATTTCTAGTTTAGTGCACGCTTTTGTGTGTTTCTTACCTTATATTTTTTGTCTATTTTTGTTACGCATGCGCACAGAATTTGTCTCCCGTTTTATATTTAACTTGTTTGTTGGGTTGTCAAAGGTTTGCTCTCAATACGTTTGCTTTGCTATACAGCTGCAAGACTATCGATAGTTGTAAATTTCTTTCCTATTACTTAAGATAAAGTACGTTAAAATGTGTCTTTTGTAATCAAAAGCCTGATTCCACTCTGCTCCAAAAATGTTACATTTAGAAACTGCACATTCTGCGATTCCGTTAATTTTATTTGATTTAACTAAGTTTTTCTTCAAAAAAAATATGGCCTCTTTGTAGGGTCACAATTTAATGGACTCTTTGCGTTCGGAAAATGTTAAAAACTTTTGTATTAGTATAATTCAAAATTAGAATTATAAGTTAACGATAACGTTCTTTGTTATATAAGCTGTTAATGGTAATGTTACATTCATATTTTCCATAACATCAATGCGACATTCGATAAATCATCATTCAAATGTGAAAACTGTGGTTTCTTATGGGCAAACGTACAGGCCAAAAATGTAACATTCGGAAAAAATGTAAGAAGTTATGGGCAACATACTTCACATTCACAAAAGTTAAACATTCGCCAAAAATGTAACATTCAGAAAAAATGTATAAATGTTGACAGTGGAATTAGGTTATAAGAATTTATTTTCAAATATTTAATCCGTATGCGTAAGTTAAAATATTTAAATATAGATTGGATTAGACATTTTCAATAGTCTTGCAACTATAAGCTGCACCCTGTATATACACACACATACACACACACACACACACACTTGAACACACTATTTGTTGTGCAACTCTTCCTCTTATTTTGGGCATTCAGTTGTAACTCATGCGCTTGTTGTGCGACACACAAACGAACACACACACACACACATTCTCTCTCCCACACAGGACCTGCTGCGCGAGAAGCAACAGCACGTGGAGCAGCTGATGGTGGAACGTGATCTGGACCGCGAGGATGCACAGAATCAGGCGCTGCAGCTACAGAAGAACATCAATGAGGTAATTATCTTCACCGATACTATGTACATGCCGCTGCCCTATGCGGATCGCAGTCGGCCCTTCCGCCTGCGGCCCACGAGCCACAGCAGCAGCCGCACAACAACAACGAGGCCAACAACAAGGCAGCCGCTGCAGCAGCAACAACAGCAACAACAACAGCTACAACAACTACAACTACAACAAGAACAACTACAACAACAGCTACAAAAATCGCGATCCGATAAACCAAAGAAAGTTTGGTTTTGCGATAAAAAGAAATTATTTCCAGTTGGCTAAAGTCCAGACAAAGAGAAACACTCGAATGTTTATTCAGCTCAGCTTTAAATTGGTTTTTTTTTTTGATAATTTTCAAAAGCTGTTGCAATTGCAAAAGAAAAGGAGTGTAACCCACACACATACACGCATGCACACACACACAGGCACTCACCTGTGCTGAATTGTTTAAAGTTTAAACAATTTGTTTATGCTCACTTGGTTGGTTTTCTTGTCTTGTGTTAACATTTTTGTGTGTTCTCTTCGTTTTCTTATTTTTTTATTTATTTTTTGCTCTCTCATTTTTCTGTTTTGTTTGTCAATTTTACACACTTAACTTGCGCACGTTACATTTGTATAATTTAATTGAATTTAAATGATTTTTGGGCCACGCATGAAATGCGCTAACTGCACGCACTGCAAAAAAAAGAGTACAAATTAGTCGGTTGGAAAACCTTTTAAAACTTCTCCATGCTCCAACTCGGCCAAGGTTCAGGCGGGTTCATCATCTTAACAAGTCGCTAACGAGCCTAACAAAAGAATTGGAATTCTGCTTAAAATTTGGTTAAATCATATCACGACACGGTGCTAATAAACTTGCACAACATGGGCTCCAGCTGAAGTACATTAGAGTCTATAGAATAAATATCTTAATTTCTGCATCAAATTTGTTGGAATGAAATCTTTTAGTTGAGATAACGTGTTCTGTTTAGCAACTAAAGGCTTAAACATGATCTTAATATTCAGTATTCCTGCAACTAGTTGAGAAATATTTTCAAGACAATTAATTTAGTATAACTCAAGTTAATCACTTTCATGGTGTTAGCATAATCGACTTTTCAAAAATTTGCTCCATTATCATACACGGTTCGGGGTCATATTTAATTTCTTTTTTGGAATTTTCACACCTGTTCCAAAAATATATATTTGCCGTACTTTAGCACAATTGCACAGCTTGACTGGAAATATATTTTCTTTTATATTGGATTCTTGTCTCTTTGAGTCGGAGGTTGCGTCTTGCTTTCACATTTGTTTATTTGTTTTTCTTTTTTTATTTTAAAAAGTTTTGCGGTTTGTTTTTGAATAAATTTGAGTTACGTTTTATGCGTGGTTATATATTTTTTATCTGCCCTCATCACATGCTCCATAAATGTCGTGCGCACTATGAGTTGTGTTTTTTTTTTTTTTTTTGTTAATTGGCAACATTTCACAATCCACCAAAAAATCCAACCACAGTTCTAATACCCTGTCGCTCTTTTTAACGCAAAACCAAAAAACCGAAATTCTCAAAATGTACAACGACTTTTACGCACCACTGTTTGTACCTGTTCATTTGTTATAGCAACTGCTGATCGAGGCCGATCGCTGGAGGCGCCTGATAGCCCGGCATAGCATTCGTCTGGCCGATCTGCGACGCGAGTTCCGCGGCTGGTCCGGCAAGCACGAGAGGCACTGCATCCTGCACAGTGTCCTGACACCGTTGCGCATCAAATAGAGGACCGTGCTTACCTGTGTGCCGGGGCTCAAATAATTGTTTACGAAATACCTTTGATGAATGCGTTTTGTGAAGAAACCTGAAATTGAAGTTCATTGCGGAAGTCTGGACAGCGTTTTATGCTGAAAACCAACCAAAAACTATTTACGATATCCTCTTATCACAAAGAAAAAAAAAAACAAACAAACATGAGCCACAAATTGAGCCCAATTGAATTGAATGTTCTGAATGTTTTTTTTTTTATATTTTGGAATACGAATGAAAAATATGCATATATTATACATATATATATATATATATAAAGATATATATACTTAAAAATGGAAATTGGAAAACCTGTATAAAATTGATTTTATGAAAGCGAATTTTCTTGCTGTTGGTCTAGTTGTACGATCTACGATATAAAAAAACCAACCTACTTACGATATAACAAAAATTCAAAATACTTTAACCGATATCAAATATACGATATACAAATATTATTGCCAGGCATTTTGCCAATTAGCGTTGTGTTTTATTTGCCTTTTACTTGGAATTTAATTTAATTTAATCTCTTCCTGCTCCACGCTCTCCTCTCCCCCCGCAGCTAAAGGCACGGATAATGCAATTGGAGTCGCAATTGGGCGACGAGCGCAAGAAATCGGAGGAGTTGCAATTTACCATAGATGAGGCACAATTCTGCGGCGATGAATTAAATGTAAGACAGAGAGAGAGACAGAGAGAGTGAGAGAGAGAGCTGTAAATAAAGATGTGCATTAACTGGGAGAGTGCAGCATATATTAGAGTTAGGCTTATGGTTTTTTTAATCAAAGCCTTTGTGATAATTCCACCTGTAGTGAAAAACTTTTAGCTAGCAATAGCTAATAGATCCTATCAAACAAGCTAGAAGCACAATTAAAACTACACGAACAATGTTTTTCATTTCTATATATATGATTATTCATATGATTATATATAAATTATATATTATAATTATATATAATATATTATTATATATATAATTGTATAATTTACATGTTACTCACTCTGTCTTAAGGCAATAGGTGAATATAGTTTACTTTAATTAAAATTACCAGCAATAGAAAGTTTCCAATGAAACCTAATATAGTTTGATTATTTTGTATGTTAGTTTGAAGTTGTGCTTATTTAATTTATCTATCAGCGAGATCTAGAATAATTTTTAAATTTTAAACTTATCTGATTTATAGCTAGGTTATTTTGGGGGTTGTGACGCCTATCAAAGTATTTTGTACTACTTTTATTTATTTATTCTTTTACAAGAGGCATTTTTAGATCTTTCTGTAGGCTTGCATTAGAGTTGTATAAAGGAGCATTTACCAGGGATCGCTATAGTTTTGATTGATATATATATATTTTTTTTATGAATTATTTGATTGAAACAAATATTTTAGTATCATAAACAATTCGATTATGATTCGAATTTCGCTAGGTAAACTTTTCCATTTTGGTTTTGAATTGTTTTTACTGAGATTTATTTAGCCCGAATATGAAAAACTTTTTCCAGGATAATTTTAATGAAATGATTAGTACATTTTTCAGCAGCTAAGGCTTTTTTTAACGTTTATTGTATTGGATCAAAAATAGCATACATTTTTATTACAAGGCAGTTGACTTGGGTTATGTTTCACCTGGTTTGGGGTCCTTATGCGTAATGTTAATTAATTTCTGTAGATTCCTCCACATCATCATGACTGAGAGCAAATGCTTAAAGGCCATCGAGCACTTTAGCTTGTGTAGTATATTAATTTGTAGAACTTATATCAAACTAGTTGAGAAAATCCTGTGCCATGGGCCTTTAAGGCGCTAGTATTAGAATAGATCGATTTAGTATAGATTTAAGTTTAAATGCAGTACAAGAAAGTTGACTTTTAATTTGCTTAAAATATTAGAAAAAAAAACCATACCAATCTCTGCACAAAACCAGTCATTGCACATCTTTTAAAATGCCCCCTCAATTGCTTTGATTAGCCACTAATTCACCCCTTTGTACCCCGACGCAGGCTCAGTCTCAGGTCTATAAGGAAAAGATTCATGATTTGGAAAAGAAAATTACGAACCTAGTCTCAGGTATAAAAGTTTCCCACAAATCTCTTGGGCATTGTTGCTATAAAGTCTTGTTCCGCAGCCACGCCCAGTTTACAGAGCGTGCCGCCTGTAGAGGAGAAAGGCGTCGATCAGTCGGAGATCGCCGCGTTGCAGGAGAAGCTTAGCGTGCAGGAGAAGCTGAGTGAGGCACGGCACACGGAGTCCCTGGAGGAGGAGCAGCGTTTGCGCGAGAACATAAACTACCTGCAGAATCAGATCACAACACTTCAAGCGGAGCTGGTGGCCAAGGATGAGAGCCTGGAGAAGTTCTCTCTGTCGCAGTGCGGCATCGAGAATCTGCGCCGCGAGCTGGCGCTGCTCAAGGAGGAGAACGAGAAACAGGCGCAGCAAGTCAAGGCCGACTTTGAGCGGCAGCTGGCGGAGAAGGCAGAGCAACTGCAGCAGGTCAGCGAAGAGCTACACAAACTGAAATCCAGCTCCGATACGCTGGAGAGCCAACGCTCGAGTGTCACAGACGAGTGCGAGATTCTGCAGACTGAGATTCGCTTGCGGGACGAGCAGATCCGAGAGCTAAGCCAACAGCTGGACGAGCTAACGACGCAGCTGAACGTACAACTGGCCGACAGCTCCGCACTGGACGAGATGCTCAACCGCAATAGCAGCGACAGCAAAGCGCAGCTGGACCAGCTCAGGGCGGAGCAGCAGCTGCTGAAGGAAGCGAACGAATCATTGGCCAAGGAGAAGCGAGAACTGGAACAGCAGTTGGACAGCTTCAAGGAACAGTTGCAGGCCAGCGGCGATAGTAAGACGCACCTGCAGCAGCAGCTGGCGGATAATGTGCAGCTGAAGGAGGCGAAGGAAGCGGCGGAGCAGAAGCTGCGCAGCGTGCAACAGGATATGGAGCTGCTGCAGCAATCGACCCAGTCGCAACTGGAGGCTAGCCAAGCAGCAACAGTCGACAAGGAACTGAAGCTGGAGCAGCTGCAGCAGCAGCTGGAGGCGAAAACAAAACTAGTAAGCAGCCAGGAGCAGCTGCAGCAGAACCAGGTCAAGGAACGCGCCGAACAAGCCGCACAGCTGAGCCAAGCGAATGCCCGGATAGCGGAATTGGAAGCCACGCTCACAGCGACGCAAACGCAGCTGGAACAACTGCAGCAACAGGCCACATCGAGCGACAAGGCGGGCGCCCAACAGCTGGCCACGCTGCAGGCGGAACTTAGTCAGCTGCAGATCAGGCAGAGCGCCGAGCTGCAGACGGCCAAGCTGCTGGAGCAGACGACGCGAGCCGCATACGACAAGCAGACGGAGGATCTGGAGGCGGCCAGGCTGCAACAGCAGCAAATGGAGACGCAGCTGAAGGCCAGCGCGGATGCCTGTGCCCAGCACGAGCTAGAACTGGGCGACGTGAGGCGCCAGCACGCGGCGCTGCTGGCCAAGTGCGAGACACAGCAGCAGCAGGCGCAGACGGTGCAGGCGGAGCTGCTGGCCGCACGCTCGGGCGCAGCACAGCTGCAGGAGACGCTGAAGCAGCTGAACGACGAGCTCCTGGTCAAGCAGCAAAGCTACGCCTCGCTGGAGAGCGCGAGCAGCGGCCAGCGCCTGGAGCTGGCCAGCGACAATGAGTTGCTGCGGCAGACGAACGTTCGGCTGGAGCGGGAGCTGAAGGAGCTGCAGCAGAGCCTGGACAAGCTGCGAGCCGAGGCGGAGCAGAAGCAGATGCAGCTCGGCGAACAGGAGCAGCTGGCCATAGAGCGCGACCTGGCGCTGGGCGATGCGGGCAGGCAGCACGAGCAGCTGGAGGCGCGCTGTCAGGCGCTGCTACAGCAGAACGAGACGCTGCAGCAACAGCTGTCGAATCTGCACAGCAGCTCCACCGACTCCAATGCCGAGCTACTGAAGCTGTCACAGCAGCTGCTGGAGCACCAGCAGGCCAACGAGCAACAGGCCACGAAGAGCAGCGAGGAGCGCGCCGGACTGGAGCGCCAATTGCAGGCGAGTCAGCAGCGTCTCGATGCGCTGTGTGGCCAGGTGGAGCTGCTGACGCAGGAGCTGGCCGGCAGCACGGAGCAGAGTGCGCAGCTCAGTGGCAAACTCAAGGCGGAGCAAGAGCTGGCCGCCAAGCAGGCGCTGGACCTAAGCGACGCCCAGCGCAAGCTGGAGGCGTCTACGGCCAAGTGCGTGCAGCTGGAACAGCAACAGGAGAAGCAGCAGCAGGAGCTGGCTAGCGTGAGAGCTGACAACGGCCAGCTGAACGCCAAGCTGAATCAGCTAAACGAGCAGCTGACCACGGCCCAAAAGGAGCTCAGCACGCAGCAGGATGCGAGCAGTGCGAAGGTCCTGAAGCTGGAACGAGAGCTGGAAGAGACGCGCCAGCAGCTGCAGGCCAGCCAAGCGAGCCAGGTCAGCGAGTCGGCTGCGCGGGAAAAACTCAAAGCGGAGGCAGGAGAAAGTGAGTCAAAATTGTTGGAGCAAGTAAAGCAGCTGCAGGAGCAGCTAGCCCGGGAGCAGGCCGAGCAGCAGCAGAAGAGCAGCGAGAACGAGCAGGCCATCAAGGAGCTGCTGGAGCGACTGGACATAACGAACGCTGAGCTGCAGCACAAGGAGCAGCTGGCGCGCGAGGATGCACAGAAGATAGCGGACCTCAAGACCCTCGTCGAGGCCATCCAGGTGGCCAATGCGAACATATCGGCGACCAATGCGGAGCTCTCGACGGTGCTGGAGGTGCTGCAGGCCGAGAAGAGCGAGACGGCGCACATCTTTGAGCTGTTCGAAATGGAGGCGGACATGAATGCGGAACGACTGATCGAGAAGTTGCAGGGCATGAAGCAGGAGCTCCAGGAGACCCACAGCCAACTCGACTCCCAGTTGAACAGCAACAAAGCGCTGGAGCAAAAGCTGCAGGAACTGCAGAAGAGCGAGGAGGTCTTGCAGGGCACAGCAGTTGAGGCGGCCGAGCAGCTGCGCCAGCTGCAGCAGTCCAAGGCAGAGCTGCAGGATGCACTGCAGCAAAGCCAGGCAAAGCTGGCCGAGACGCAACAGCAGCTGCAAGCCCATCAAAGCCAATTTGAGCTGCAGCAGAGCAGCATCCAGGAGCTGCAACAACAACTGCAGCGCGTGCAGCAAAGTGAGAAGGATTTACAGGCAGCTGCCGCCAAAGCCGACGAGCAGCTGCGTCAACTGCAAGCCATCTCGGCGGAGCAACGGCAGGCGCTGCAGCAAAAGCAGCAGCTGCTGGACAAAGGCAACGAATTTGATGCCCAGCTGGTGGAGTACCAAAAGGTCATCGACGAAATGGACGAGGCTTCCAGTGACAAGTCTGCGCGGCTAGAACAGCTGCAGAGTCGCGTTCACGAACTGGAGATGGCACTGCACGAGGCCAAGGAATCGGAGCAGCTGGCACACATGGAATGCCAGCAGATGGCACGCAAACTGCAGTCCCTGGAGCTGGACGAGGCACGCGAGATTATGGCGATGCGTGCCCAGGCCAATGGCGCCTCCGCCAGCAGCCCCATAGCCGGCGCGGAGGTGAGTCCTGATTGGAAAGACAAGGAGCGAGTTGTAATTATTAATTTTCTATTTCAGCAGCTGGATACGGAGACCAGCCTGGCAAAGATTAACTTTCTCAACTCGATCATTGCGGATATGCAGCAGAAAAACGATGCTCTCAAGGCCAAGGTGCAGACGCTGGAAACGCTGCCCATGGATTTCACCAAGTAACCTACTTGAAAGCTATATAACTTAGCTATATACTAGACTGATCACCTGAATGTTTCCTAATCTTGGCCCTCAATGTGGCTACACATTGTCTTCCGCGCTTCACGCTTTTCAATGCCTCGCCCTTTTACTCAAAAGACAACTCCTGTCAAAATATCTGCTACCTATTCCTTATCCTTTAACATTCAGTCAGTCAGTCTAGGACTCGCTCTCTTATGTACACATCTTAATTTGTAATCCTTTGCTTGCAGGCCGCATGCTTTTGATATGCTGAGCAAGCGCAAGCCGGCACCGCGTCTCTTCTGCGATATCTGTGATGAGTTCGACAAGCACGAGACGGAGGATTGTCCTTTGCAGGCGGGAGATGAGCGCGACTATTCGCCGCCGCCGCCCGCCGAGGCCAACAACAACGAGAAGCAGCGCAAGTTGCCCACCCCGCGCAAATACTGCGATTCCTGTGAAGGTAAGTAGTTCGATCCTTTGATTAGAATATGTCAAGATTCCATTCTCCATTCGATTTCAGTTTTTGGACACGATACGAGCGAGTGCGCCGACGATGAGACCTATTAGAGCTAAGATATTTTTGTTGGTTGTTTATACACAGATATTTTGTACGACAGTTGTTCTTGTAATCGTAAAGCAAATCAATTGTTTGGGAACATACTTTACCTCTTCCACCGGTTTTTCGAGTGGGATTATGTTTCGCACTAACATTCTCCGTTTAAATTTTGTGTTAACGCGCGATTGGATATTTTAAAGTGTTTTATTTTTAAAGTAATTTATTAACACAAATAGTGAAAATTTTTCCGTTTCGTAAATTTTTTGTATAAATAAAGTGTAATTACAATTAGTCGCCGCCCTCCTTCTTCTCCTTGATGGCATCCTGCAAAGAAATAGGACTTTATCTGGTGACTACTCAAAAATGAAACAAAAAACCTGCTTACTTTAAAGCGCTCCTCGAAGAGCGACAATTCAGCGAGCAGATCTGTGATGGCATTCATGAACGCTTCCTGCGGCGAGTAATCCGCCGTGGTCTGTATCCGGATGACGAACTTGTGCTCCAGCGGATGCGGTACTTTGTAGCCGGCGAACAGTACATTGGGATCCTTCAGCAGCTGACTGTGACAAAATAAGTAAATAATACTACTAAATTTCTTGGTAACTGGCTAACTTACTTGCGGATCATGTTGCCCAGCGTGTGATCTTCCTTGTTTATGGTAAATATTGCTGCATTTGTTACCTTCGTGTCCAATTCCTTGATGATTCTGTACAGAGAGGCAAGACAAAGTCGAATGTGGTCTGCAAATGTTTCTAACAGGGGTTACTCACTTTTTTTCGCCTTCGTAGAGCAAAAACGACTCAAAAGTGGGTGGTGCATTCATTTTGACGTTTTAATTATGAACAACAGAAGGAACAAACACAATTGTTTATAAAAATGAGCCGCAAACGAGAAAATGGAAATCGCGTGTGTTGGAAAATATATGAAACACATTTACCAGCACTACAACTATCGATAATTCATCGCATTGCTTGCGCATTTATTTTGCCCATCTCTGTTGGTGTTGGAAAACTTCATTTCATCGTCAAGAACCATTAGTTCATGCAAAACAAAAATCTAATTTTGTGTTTATTTTGTTAAATGAAATGTGAAATACTCAGCAACAAACGATAGCCAAATTTTTTACCAAAGTTTTAATTATCCATATATAGTGTAGACTTTAGTGCATTTTGTGCGTCGACAAAATCCGAGAGAACCGCTCAAATGAACCTCAGCTGATGCACTCTCAGCTTCGGTTTTACGAACACCGCAAAACTAGTTCGCAGTTTTTCTTTTTTGTGCGCCTAACAAGAGCGTTCTCGTATATTGTCCGTGGAAAAGAAGTTTTACAAAATAAATTTCATTGAATAAACTAAGATTTCAATCAAGATGAGCGACGCAAACAGCACGGCGCACGCTGCAGACGTGGATGAGGCGAATCTATTGGAGCAATCGACCATTACAATGCTCGATGTACTCGAAGAGGAGAAGGAAATGGAGGAGGAATACGCCGCAGTGCTCGGGGGCTCCGATGAAAAGGCCTGCACATATGCCAAGGGCGCCATACAACGCCAGGCGCTCTATTCTTGCCTCACCTGCTGCCCGGAGGCGCGCGAAGATCTGACAAAGAGCGCCGGCGTCTGCCTTGCCTGTTCCTACCGCTGTCACGAGAATCACGAGCTCATCGAGCTGTACACGAAACGCAATTTTCGTTGCGATTGCCCCACTCTGCGTCTGGGCAGCGAGAAGCATTGCGCTCTGAATCCACAGCTGGAGGGAGTTCAGCCGCCAAATGCCGGCAATCTTTACAATCAGAATTTCCAGGGCTTGTACTGCAAATGCAAGCGGCCCTATCCCGATCCCGAACGCACCACGGATGAGGTAATGCTGCAGTGCGCCATCTGCGAGGACTGGTTCCATCTGCAGCACATGCAGGCGCCGACCGTCTCCGAGAAATGGCTAGATGCGTGCAGCGAAATGATCTGCGACGCCTGCATGGAACGTCACGAGTTCCTGCGCGACTACACGGGCCTGGCACTGCAGCCACACAGCGATAAGAAGGAGTCCACAGCCGAGGTCAATGTAGCTGACAGCCAGCCGGCTGCGAGCGAGCAGCAGTCCGAGGAGCCGGCTGAGAAACGCATCAAATTGTCAGCCGACGAGAATTGTCGTCGACCCAAAACCCCAACGGGACATACAGGTGAGTGCATGCTAGACTAAAAGCTAGTCCCTACTCAATAGTTGGTTTATGCCAGCAACTGAAAAATATATATTGGTATTTCAATACATAAAGAGCAAATCAAAGTTCTTGCGCCCGTCGCCCAGATAGAGGAAGCCATGCTTGCGTGAGTTGAGCTTGTGGAAGAAGGTCATGCCCAGCCAGACGCAGGACTTGATAATTGCGATGCGCTCGTTGCGCTGCATGTTCAGCGAAAAGGCCTGGCTGAGCGGTATAACGCCATCGATGGTATCCAGAAAATCAATGGCATAGTTGTAATCGCTGCGCTTTGACAGATTTGTCTTTAGATCGTTGCGCGGCAGTCGATACAGCTGGTAGTAGGATAGATTGTCGATTTGCAAATCGTTTAGGCCGCGGAACATTTGATTTGGTATGACACGACCATCGACCATCTTGTAGAGTGCACCGCGTGGACAAATTGCGCTCTCCTCGCTTATGATAAACACTATGGCAGCCAGGCGTTCCTCTTCCTTGAGCTTGATCACCTCCGGGCGACTGATGCTGACCACCTGATTGTCCACAATATTAAATGTCGGATCCTGAAACAGTCGATATTAGTACTCAAGGCAGAAATGTTATCTTCGGTTGAATACTCACCAGCTTGACATAGGTCTGCAGACTGGGATCCCCGACAAATGGATCGGGCGCTAGGATCGTGGCCTGAAAGATTTTCGGGCTCTGCACAAAGGGCAATAGCTGCCATTGATACTGATCCAAACTGTAGAAGTACTTGCGATCCTTTAAGCAATCGTTTGTATAACCAAAGGCAATATAGTAATCGTTCTTGGTGGCCGTAATGCGTCCCCAGAAATACATGCCCGAGAAACGATTCTCCTGCAACAGCACAATCAGCGAATTCTCAATGAGTATACGCTGCTCCGGCGACAACTTGCGGCCGCAATACATTAGGCATTCCAGCCCTTCCGAAAAGTACTCAACGTTCATGTTAGCTGCTCAATTTAAACCGTACTCAAAATATTCTAGTTTTATGGATTTGTGTGGCCCCGTCGACTAGGCTAGGACTTTATCAGGAATCCAACACGTATATAAACCTGAACTAAAGTGATTTCTCTAAACAGGCACCGCCTTCTGGGCCAATGACTGGCGCAAATCTCTGTGCAAGTGCGACAAGTGCTTGGAGATGTACAAACGGCAGTCTGTGGAGTTTCTGCTGGATGCCGAGGACTCAGTCAAGGATTACGAGGAGCGCGGCATGAAGCGCGTCCAGGAGAACTCCAGCTATGAGCAGGGCATACGCGCCCTTGCCTCCATTGATCGCACTAAGCAAATTGACGTGATCACCGAATACAATCGCATGGGAGACAAGCTAAAGGAGTTCCTGCAATCGTTTGCCGCCAACAAAACAGTTGTCACCGAGGAGGACATCAAACGTTTCTTTGCCGGCATGCGCAACGAGAACCATACGAATCTCGGCCAGCCCTATTTCTGTCGTTAAACGTACACATATTTACCTATTGAGTATTCCTGGTAGTTATATATACGTATAAACATTCCCCAAATAATGGAATTTATTTTATTGTACAATCTTAAAATTTATGGTCTTCATATATTTAACAACAACAATTCGCAACATTTTCGGAGCATACGAAATGAGATTCAAGCATGTGGCAACTATATCTAAATAGCCAAATATCTATGTACAACTGGCTCTGCGAATATACACGTAACATATATATATATATATATACTATACATATGTATTATCATTTCTATTCTGATTGTTCGCCATCTCCAGATTGCTGAGCGTCGCCTGCAAGTCCCTGATTATATCATTCGGATCGATGTGCTCTATGGCTGTATAATCCATAAATGTGCTGCTCAGTATCAGATCGCTAAAGGACTGATTCTCCTCCAGCTGAGGTTGAGGCGCAGGCGGCGGCGGCGGCGGCGGCGGATGCACCAGGAGCTGAGGCGAAGCCTGAACTTTGACTTCCTGCTGAAAGGGCAGGCAATTCGTTGCATATGCTGGACTCGTGGCACCAAACACATTTTGGTTATTGTTGTAACCATTGTTGTGGTTGTTGCTGTTGAAGCTGGTTGGCGTTATGCTGCCGCCGTTGAACATCGTGGTCGTGTTCCAATTTCCGGATCCGTTGTTGACGCTTATCGTGATGTTCAAGTTCTCCTGCTGTGTCTGCTGATTGAGCAGCTGCTCCTGCTGCTGGCCCGGACTGGGCAGCTTGTGCAATTGTTGCTGCAGCGCCGTCGCCGGCGCAATGCTGTCCGCTGTGCTGCAGCTGGAGGTGGGCGAGGCGGGAAAGTTGTATGCGTTATTATACGAACTGGCCGCCGAGGGGCAGTTCCGTGTGCTGTCCATTTCATAGAGCAGCTGTTCGGCCTTGATCTCTGGCACATAGCTGCCAGTCGGGCTGGGACTGTGCCCATTGTAGCTGCTTATGGGCGTCATAAGCAGAGACTGTCCTGGTGCCACGCCCAGCGGCTGGGTTGCTGCAAGGTATCGGAAAATGTTCATTAGGAAAACTGTCAATAACAAGGCAAAACTTTCGCTTACAATCGAGTTAATGAGCGCTATAGAAACTATGCATTTAAATGTGAACAGGCATTACAACAACAACTATGCGAAAATATAAGGACAACCAAGCAACTTGTGGCAGAACTTAAAAGGTCACACAACAACAACTTCAACAACAACGATAATTTCATCGATTTGACAACTTACGTGACCAAAGACTTGAGTCAGACGCAGCTGTTGCGATTCTTTGGCTAGCTATAATTGGAGCTAAACTGAACGGGAGACAATATAATATCACATCTTCGGCTAGCCGAAGTCATTTAGCAATTCTAAATGGCTGAAGGTATATAGATATATTGTCAAGACTCGATTCGTATTATGTTAAAAACAAACCAGTTTTTTTTTGAGGAGACAAACGTACATTTGTACGTTTCGTGTCAGTGAATTAGATTACCTTTGTGCATATTACCCATGTCTTTATAGGATATTTCTCTTGCATTTTGACTAAGAATATTGTTGCCAGATCTAGAGGCCAAACCATGAACAAATACCTAAACCTCGTAAAAATCGGATGAGATTTGACCACGTTATGGGGGTGGGTATATGATAGCTATTATATATATATGTGTGTGTGTGCGTGTATGTGTGTGGGCGCGTGTGTGTTAGTGTATGCATGCATGTATGTGTGTATTCAATTACGAAACGCAGACAAAGCTTCTTTGTCGCTGTGCTGCAAATTTAAATATAAAGAATTTCTGTCAAGTGCTCTCCTCCTCGATTCTCAAAAATTAAAGTAGGCTCCTCAGTTTTTGATGCAATTTTAGTTAGTGCCTGGGAAGTGTGTTGGCGATGAAGTCAGGGGTGAGTATGTTTTGTATGTATGTATGTATGTATGTATGTATGTATGTATGTATGTATGTATGTATGTATGTATGTATGTATGTATGTATGTATGTATGTATGTATGTATGTATGTAGACGCAGACAAAGCTTATTTGTCGCTGTGCTGCAAATTTAAATGTAAAGAATTTCTGCCAAGTGCTCTCCTCCTCGATTCTCAAGAATTAAAGTAGGCTCGGTAGTTTTTGATGCACTTTTAGTTAGTGCCTGGCAAGTGGGTTGGCGATGAAGTCAGGTGTGAGTATGTTTTGTATGTATGTTTGTATGTATGTATGTATGTATGTATGTATGTATGTATGTATGTATGTATGCATGTATGTGTGTGTGTGTGTGTGTGTATGTGTGTGTGTATGTATGTATGTATGTATGCATGTGTGTGTGTATGTATGTATGTATGTATGTATGAAACAGTTCTTACGCTATGGCTGTGGGTTGATCACCAATCAGTTAGGACAAATAGTTTTATATATAAAGAAGATGAAGGGCTATACAATTTGGGTAATTATTTGTTATTCTTAGTATTAGATAGTTTAAACTTAACGGACAATTACAAGTTAAGTAAAATATTGACAATTTATGATCTTCGCTCATTTTAGAAAAGCTGTGATAAACATTCACGACTCAGTTCGACAGCTCTTTGGAGATTTTAGCAAAAACTTTATTTATTCAATTCAATAACACACAGGTATTAAGGTGTTGTTTATATTTATATATATATATAGATATATATATATATATATATAGTATATATTTGTATAATACGAGGCAACAACAAATCAACAGATTACCATAATAGGCATCCGCATTCTACAAATTTCAAAAACAATTGGTCCACCAAGGGGTTTTGTGTCTGCTACTAAACGAAGAGACTAGCATATGAATATGTTTATGTTTATATAGAACTTTCAACGTTGAGGGACAAATTCGTGTGATTTGCAAATGTGTGAGTGTGTGTGAGCATAGGAACTTTGCTTCAGCTGGATGTTATGTTTTTTTTTGGTACATGTATTAATGGAAGTTCGTGGAGTACTTGGAACCCAACACCGCATATCAAAAGCTGACTTACATAACATTTTCGACTGTTTGTGATTCTGAGTCTGCTGCATAATGCCGGACAGCTTGCGCTTGACACTTTCGGTGGCTTTGCGCGCATCGAGACGGCATTTCTGGGCCAAAGCATCTACAAAGACAATTGGGAGGCGGTTGTGAGATTAACTGTGCATAGACTAGAGGTACACGCATATATGTCATATATATAATACTGAAAGAAAAGACGACTAGACAAAAGTTGTATTTAACGTTTAAATTGTGTGTGCATCCGGACTCCCGGCTCACTGCAGCCCGTTGGCCTCGGCCAGACGGCGTGCAATCTCATCAGCACTCAGAAAGTCCGCGACTTCCGGCTCCCCTCCGCCGCCGCCGCCCCCAACAATCTCGCGCTCCGGCTCCGGCGATTTGCTCGTGTAAAGCGCAAAATGCTCTGCCTCGGAGAGGTCGACGCTGGGATCGAGCACGACGCCGTAAGCGCCCTCGCACAGATTTCTGATGCTCTGGCGATCGGCAATGGCCACCAACTCCATGTTGCCATCACTGATGGGTATATCCGCCAGTTGGAGCGTGCTCAGCGTCTTGCGATCCAGCGGTCGGCCGTAGGTCAGTGTGCTGGCATTCGAGTAGCTCTCCGGGCGCAACAAACTGTTCTCGCTGTCGCCGCCTTTTAGTGGTATGTGAATGACATCCGCATCCAAGTGGGCGGGCCGCTTGCCCGAGACGCTGCTCGAGCTGCGACCCACCGGGCGGCCACCGCGCTGGGGACTCGAGCCGGGCGGCTGCAGAGATCGAACTGAGCTGCGATTTGGATCGCCCAAAGCAAACTGGGCCAGGCTTGGCTCACGGCTGCCCGTGGGCGTGGTTGCCCGTGAACTGAGCTCCTGCTGTTTGGTCGTGAGCGTCGCCTCGTCCTCGGTCCGGCTGCGACGGCGCGAAAACAAGCGCGAGAAGAAGCCCTGGCGTTTCTTCGGCGAAGCGGATGCCGATGTCGAGCTGCTGGGCGTGGCCGTGGGCAGCCGCTTGGTGGGGCTCTGGTCAGGTGTGCGCATAATAATAATGGGCGAGGGCGTGGTGCGCGTGGAGCTGACGCTGCCGTTGCGCGACCGACTCAACGACACGGAATTGGAGACGCTATGCTCGCTGACGCTCAAATCTTGGGAGTTGCGCGGCTTGGGCGGCAGCGGGGGCAACCGCTGTTCCGGATCCGGCGACGGGGTGCGCGGTGGCAGCGGCAAAGGCGGTGAGGGCGGCGTAGCTGGCGTTTGAGCGGCGTTTACTCTAATCCTGGGCGCTGGCGGATTGGTTAGCACCACGAGCTCCGCCTCGTCCAGCTGGCTAAACGGATTGGAGGCATGATAAATCTGGCTCTGGGGCATCTCGACGGGATGGTTGTATGCGATCTGCAGACTCGTATATGTCGCTGTCTCATCGAAATTCTCGTCAATGTCCACCGAGGCCTGGGCACTGGCACTCATCGGCTCAGCGGCCGCACCACCCTCTGGCGGCATCTCCTCGCCCACGGGTAGCTCCTTGAGCGCAGCATTTTCCAGCGTGTCGCGGCGCGAGGCGCTGCCATCGCCCGGCAGGAGCTTGTCTTCGTCATCGATCAGTTGGTTCGTAATGGTCGTGTTGGCGGTCAGGCTGCTCACATTGGTGAAGGCTGTCTGGGCCGTGCTGTGGGAGAGCGTGGGCGTGTCGCCATTCTCGACGGTGAGGCTATCGGTGCGCTCAAACTCGCTACTGCGCATCCACTCGTTAATCTTGTCCACGTTGCTCAACGGGCGCGACTGCAGCTGCGGCTGCTGCAGTATTTCCTCCATGGGCGTGGATGTCTGGGTGCAGTCGTCGGCCAGCTGGGGCAGAAGCTGTGGAACTTCCAGCTCGATCTCCATGTCCGGCTCCTGATCGTTGTCATTATCCAGGCCATCGGTGTATTCGGTAACTGTGGCATCCGCCTCGTTGGCCTCGGACTCGACGCGTTGCCGCAGCTGCAGCTTTTTGACCGCAATCTCGAAATCGTTGAGCGTGCCCGAGCTCTGCTGTTCGTCCGAAGAGACGGTGTTCTCGTCCTCGTTGAGATCCAACGGCGGGCACGAATATTTCGTGGCCGTGGTCTCGCTATCTAGAGAAAGTATCTGCTGGAAGACGTCCAGCTCCTGTTTGCGTTTCAGCTTGCGCTGTAGACGCGCAAAGGTTAGCATACCTGGATTGGGATAGTACTCGAAGGGTAACGCGGCGCTCGTCGCCCGATCCGATGGTCGCTCCAGTTGTAACTCCACCTGCAAAACGTTCCATAAATACCAAGTGTTGCCAAGGGATCTACGCATAAACCCACCTGCACGCTGTGTTGGATCTCGGGATTGCGATAACGCGGCGTCCTGAAGACTATGGCCGTCTGTTTGTAGATGTCCGTGGGCTGGAAATCGGCGTAGGCTTCCCAGATTTCGACGCCCGCCTCGTTGGTCTCGAAGAAGCGTATCCTTATGTCATCCTTAGATATCTTCTCGCACAACATTATGATCTGATCGCCGCCACTCAACTTGGACGAGCAGCTGCACAACCGATTAATGGTCAGCTCATTGCTCTTGCCGTAGATCGGCGAGGAGACGACCGGATCGAGCGGCACATTGTTGTTGCCCACCTTGATGAAGGCCTGGTAGCACAGACGCAGCTCGTACAGATTGATGCTGCTTATATTGTCTTTATGATCGAATTTGGCTGCAAGGGAATCAAATGTCAAATGAGTTGCATTTAAGCTTCCCTTGTTAATTGTGCTACTCACCGTGATACGGATCAATGTTCTTCTGCTCGCGTGCCAACAGGGACTCGCGCACATCCGTCTTCTTGACGCACTGGATGCCCACTTTCTGCAGCTCCAGGCGGCGCTCCTCGGGCGGCAGGCGCTTGCTGTAGACGCCGCTCTTGCAGTTATCGACCTCCTCCTTGCTGACCAGCCAGTGCGGGTGCTGGCGATAGGGCTTGTCCCGGGTGACGCAAGAGACGACGACAACAACGGGTCCGCTGTAGTCGACAATCTCGATGGTGGGAAAGGTTTTTGCCTCCGGCGTTGAGTTCATACCGGCTATGGATCCAGCCGTGCGACCCTCACACTTATAGCGAAAGCGTATGATTTTGTTGGTGGGCTCCTCGACAATGCGAATATAGGGTCGCCGTTGGGCAGCCGGCGCCGCCGGCACGGACAACGGTATGTGGGACGGCATTACGGGCAGCGAGGCGGACTGTGGGAAGGTCTGCGGCATGGGCGACGCGTTCTGTTCACAGCCGGCATTAAGAATCTCCTCTATACGGGTGGGGGTATCAAGTTAAAAGAGTTGTCATTAGCAAAAAATCAATACGGCAAATTGTTGTAGCAATTTTCCGGAATGCCAGAAACAATCCAGCAAAAAGTCCGAGTACATAGAACGTCTGTAGTATGTATCTAAAGCATACGTGTCAGCTTTATCTATGAATTATGCATATGTACGGCATTAAAGTGCGGTGTGCCATCCATCAGAGCTATTGTTATGCTCCTCCAAGAGGAGGAGGACTGTGCTATGGCATGGTATTCCAGCCCCGGCCAGATGTTAACGTCTGACGTCAAATGTGGCGCAACAAAAACAGGGCACGACTCATTTTTGCCACATATTATTATTTTTTATACCTCTGCAGAGGTTGTTATAATTTTGTTGTACAATATGTAACGCATAGAAGGAGACATCTCCGACCCCATAAAGCATATATATTCTTGATCAGTATCAACTGCCGAGTTGACATGTCCGTCTATCCCACTGTCTGTTTATTATGTGAACTAGTCGCTCAGCTTAAAAGCTGTCGACATGAAGCTAGATCCGTCTTTCTGTTACACGCAGTCGTATAACTCAGAACCAGCTGGATCGGACCACTATATCATATAGCTGACATGGGAACGGTCGGACAAATGGTATATTCTTGTATGAAAAACTTTCTTGCTTATCAATATATCTTGACCAAACTCGGCATTTATTAGTTTTACTATGTTCCTCATATATCTGCAAAATCCTATCAACATCGGACCACTATATCATATAGCTGCCATAGGAACAATCGGTTAAAAGCTAGGTTTTTGCATAGAAGTTTTTTTTGTTTTTCAAGATATCGTAACCATACCCGGCATTAACTTCCCTGTGCTTCTTAGATACGGGCAAACCCCTATTAGCATTATGACAAGGTTGGGTCTGCAAGGGTATTGAATCTTCGGCGTGCCAAAGATAGCTCTTCTTCTGGTTTTGCTTTCTTGTTTGTTTCCACCACGAACAACAACTAGAACTACAATTATGTACAAGTACAACTACAATTGGCTTCTGGCAGGGATTTAATGTGGCCACTAAAAATGCCAGACGCAAAACTGGCCAACCAATTGAAAGGCTAATGAAGCCTGCTGCCGATTGAGTTATTGTGGCAAATTATTCATCAGCAGCCCACATTTATGCTAAATCCGCATGTTTATACTTATTCAGGCCATAATCATAGCTGTAGTTGGTTATAAGCAGATCTCAGCCACGTTTATACATACGCAAATCGCCAAAGAGTTCGTCCTCAGCCATTTGATGTTGATTGCCTGCAAATTAAAATAATGATGGATTATCATAAACTGTGTATCTGTATATGGCTAGCATAGTATATTCAAAGACAAGCACTTTATTGGGCCTCAGGATTGATTACATTCACATCTGTGTACATTGTATACTTTTATCTTGAATACATTTATTTAATAATACTTGTGCTAGGATAGGTAAAAGCTTAAATGTTTTTCTATGTCTTCTATATTTATGGCCATATTTACATATTTCTATAAATATATTTCGGGAAAAAGTTTGTGAGATAGACTTTTCTATGATTGATTGCTTTGCAAAGTGAAGTAAAACAGCCAAAGCCCAAATAATTATTTCTTATTAGAAATCAATAAAAAGTTTTCGCCGGTATTTCCCCTCAGCAGAATACTTATATATTTACATGGCAAACAACTTTTAGAGTATCTCGAAATTTATTTAAATTAAGTATGTTAGAGGCATCTTTTTAAAATTATCTGTAAACAATTTCGTAAATATGCCCCATCAAATTAGTGTATTTATTATGTGATTCGTCTCAATCTATTTGATATTTGGAAAACTAAGTTCTCTT